CGCACCAGCGGAATAGACCACTCATACTACACGATATGTTAGTTCTAGAGCTGGCAGCTGCGGTATAGCCCTAGTTTTATCCCTTAAACATTAGTGATGGTCCCCGGATAGGCTTGCTGGGTCTTTATCAGTTAGAGCCCATGGGGGTGGAGCTTGGTCCAGCCCAAGCTATCGAAGATAACTCTTCATCGATCGTTACCACTTGGGGACAGATGGTCGGAGTCGAAGGGGTTTGTCGGTTCCGCTTAGTAGGAGGGCTAGTCTGCCTACAATAACACCCGAAGACCTTGCGATGACAATTTATTGATCAGCGAGGTCCATATGTCGGTTTGTAAGAAATTGATGTTTGTTTTCCACCAAAATGGTCAGCGTGCGCACTCAGTAAGGGGTTGACAAACTCACCTCGAGCCTGTTTTGCTTACATGTCCTGCAGCTCTGGGCGATATGTGGAGGACAACGGGTCTCATCGTCCAATCGACTGGAATTCCCGACGAACTTAAAATCGCCGTTCGAGGGTGTAGGAGAAGGTTCTCCCTTTACCTCCAGTCATCCAAATCAAGACCTTAGTTATAGGTGTTAGCTGTAGCTGACACAATCCGAAGAGGGGGGTCCTCTATCCTCATTATCTTCTGTTTGCGTATGTCACGATCGTCCGATTTGTTTACGTGTCTACTGTCCTTGTCACAGTTGATGGGAGTGGTTCTGGATGAGTAGCAAAGTCTTTTCAAGGAATCCTAGTAGTTATCGTACTATTCCTAGACGGGCTTAGTTTCTAGGAATTCCGAATGTTGCGGTTCGACTTTGACTGATGGTGCCTTCTTCGTAGTAGATGGAATTAGTGGTGGACGCCTTATTCTAGGAGTTGCCGGTTCGCGGTCGGTGAGAGACTTAGCTGGAGGGCTATACGAATTTTGGTTAAGAGCAGACTATAAAGGCAATTTTCTCCGTAACACCGTGGTAAAACCTTATTCTAAATACCCTCGGAGGAGGTGGAAGTAATCGTACTCTGGCCCCTGGTGTTTTTCGATCTCATTATTTATCTTGCAAGAGGCTTTTTTTGTGGGGAGAGGGACGGTGTCCCTGAACTTTCACAATTATTGTTCGGTCGATAGATTTATTAGTTATTTGAATATTTCTATTGTGAGACATACTGTCTCGTTGTTCAGAGCGCCGAATTCGTGCTCGGCATGTTGTGCTTTGATCCCAGTAGAGACCTCAAATCGTATGCCGACTAATGCACTATTTGCAAAGAGCCTTCCACCTCTTCTATGTTCCCTGCTTGTCAAGCCTTCCGGGAGAGGCACGGAGAAGGAGGGGCGAAACGGTCTTTTGCTGAAATCTAGAGGTACGGTGACGACGGATGACTAGGGCTAGCAGCCTTACTGCTTTGACAGGCCAGGGACGGCCGTCGCCAGCCCATCGTAGGAGGTATGCCACCAACGCTTTTTCTTCCTGATGAGTCAGATATTGTTGGTTAAAGGCTTTCTTCTCTTTGGCTGATCGTAGTTGGCCTATCTTTAGACTAGGGGTACCGTTCGTGGTCTGTGAGGTATCAATTTCGCCTGGCGATGGTGGTAGTTGTTGGCGAAGGTAACTATGCCGCTTTTGGCAAGCACTCGAGCATGTAAGTCTAGGCACCACGTAATGACCCATCCCTATAATAACCTACGCGTCTCGACGCGTAAGTCTAGGCACCACTTAATGAAACACCCTAGTAATGAAACACCCTAGTAATGAAACACCCTAGTAATGAAACACCCTAGTAATGAAACACCCTAGTAATGAAACACGCGTTTTTACGCGTTCTAAATACTACTCCCTCCTCCTCTACATCATCCTACTCCACCAATTAATATATTTACATAATAAAATAGCATTAAATCGAGAGACTAGGATGCTCCAAGCGATATCCGACTACTAAAATCGCCGATACACGAGTATTCGCGCTACCGCGGCGGTAAATAATGTAAATTACGTTAGTCTCGGCTATCGACTACGAGGTTATAAGGGTTTAGCTAGGAATTTAGAGTAATTCGTCTAACTACCGTATAACGAGGATTCTAAAGCTAAGGAGAGAAAAGAAAAGAGAAAATCTATCTACTGTACGAATGAAGGAAATACTCCCTAGCCTCTCCTATAGTAGGTTAGTATAGTTTCCTGGGAGATAATCGATAGAGAGGAATTACGTAGCTTCGGCTATATAGTTATACAGCCTAAAGGTGTACTACGAGTAATCGCTCTAGGGCGTACTCTAGAGCTTTGTACGGGTTCAACCCGTGATAGATAGTAAGTTCGTAGAGAAAGTATCGAGGAAACTCTTAATACTACGATAAGGATCGAAAGCTTTTAGCGCCTTCCTCGCCGAATTCGACCGTATACTCCTCGACGTAAGAAGTCTTACCTAGGTAGATTAAGTTAAGAAGACGTTTCTCGCGAACTATATCTCGTACGAGCTATAGAATATAATTATAGCGGCGTCGACTTTAGCGTCGTATTAAGAATACTATATACTTTTCTATAGTATTAGTACGAACCTAGAAGTCTTCTATAGGAGGAAGACGCGAGCTATAATACCTACGTATAAAATAAAAGAATCTTTCTCGGCGGAGGACGTAATAGACTAGGAATCGTAGACGATAACCTAAGTAGCGGTTATAAGACTTCGTTAATAAGCGGCCTAGGTATCCTAAGCGACTCTCGACTAACGTCGAGAAAAAGGATAGTATCTACGTTATAGCCGACTAGGCTACTTTATCTAGAAGTATAAGCTTAGGTTAGCCTGGCGACTACGAGAGTAAATAACGATAACTACGACGACTACTACTAGAGATATAGAAGTAGCGTTAGTCGAGACGAAATAGTTAAAAGAGTAGCTTCTAACGAAAATCGCCGTTAGAATATCTATATTTTAGACCGGGTAGCCTAGTAAGTCCTAGGCTACCGTAGGCTCGCAGCGCTAGGCTATAATAGATACTTATTATAAGCTTATAGGGTAAACCTTAATTCCTAT